AAGCTATGGACTGAGAAGAAAAGACTAAACTCAGCTTGACACTGATTTCTTCCACATCCTGCATGAAACCACAAAAGCAAATCTATGCAAGCTCAAGCAGCCACACCAATTACCTACTGCTCCCACTGACTCGAATATGTGTTCTAAAGGCACTTTAGATTTTCAGGATCTGCTTCAAAGATCACTGTTGGCAGCGGAAGACTCCCAGTGTTGGCCACATTAATATGGACCATGCCATGCATTTCAGTCACAAATTTAAAAGTCTAGTGCAAAAAGAGACTAATACAGTTTCCCATTACACATACGTCTGTGGTAGTATGTCTGTACTTCTGTAAGCATGCACATACATTTTCCTCTGCAAGAATTATGTAAAATTGGGAAACACATACAACAGTTCTATATCTGCCAGGGACTAGGCTAATAGTTGCAGTGCACAGGAATTGACTGCAGAACTATGGGTGATATTTGCCCTTTTTCTTTCGCCACCAAGGCTCCATGATGTGAGAGCTCCTTGCCTGTGTAGAGATTTACAGGAATTGTTAGAAAGATTTTTTTCAAAGAGCTTGGCACTGGCACAGGTATTTGAATAAAGTTAGGACAGAGACACCAGAATATGGAACTGGTGCTTGGCAGAAACATAGTGTTTGGAAATTCTGAATACAGAGATGCTTTGCTGGAGCTCCAAACTTGGACTTCTGTTGTTGCCTTTACTGCCCAAATTAACAACGGGAATGACATAAGCAATAAATGAGGTCTAGGATCTCTGTCTACGTATTTCCTTCCAACAGCAGATTTTTGAAAAGTGGAAAAGGTTCAATCACTCTGCAACATCTCGGAATCTGAACTAGGTGTTTCAATCACAAATGTCCATATATGCTGCAAGTAACACCATACTCCATTATACTGTACATCCCATTATCCTATATTTTCTGCAAATTAAACACGTATGACAGGTCTGAGTTTAGGTTGATGACATCATGGAAGAGCGGTCATGTCAATAACATCCCTATGATGTAAAGGAACAAGATGAATTTTGTATAGGCCACACAGAGTACAAAGGAACTCACTGTTTATATTTTATAGGATTTAAAAATATAGACTACAGTGACAATGGGTGAAAAGTGACAATACAACTTTTTTAAAAAGGTCTTCCATGAGTTTCTACACCTGCTATATAAATAAATGTCATAAAGTATCACACATCTAAACTATTATTGGCCCAGAACTCATCATTTTTTGCCCTGGTAAGGGGAAAAAGGTCCTGTGGTTATCATGCATATGTAAGGTGTAAGCTGGCACCGTACCTTTGAGCACATAAGTATACAAAGTTTTGACAAATCTATATACATATATATTTATATATCATGCAATCAACCACTAGCAAACTACATAGTAAAAGTACTCTCATTCCTCACCTTCCTTGCTAGTTAAAGAGAAATAGTTTGTTTATTTTTTTATGGCACAGTCAATGATAATTTAAGAGATCACTACATTAAGAACAGTGCTTTTAACCTTTATTCTCTACACATTTTTCAGTTCATTCAAGTCAACGAGAATTCTGTACGTGAAAGAATATCAGAGAGGTATGAGCAAGATGTTATTGTCTGAGCCACTGAAACTCACAAATGTAGCTATGCTATAAAGATGATGCTAAAAGTAAGTGCTCTGTTTCTTATAGACATAATAATTGCAACAAACAGTTTTTTCAAATATAAGCAAATTAGAAATTATGAATTGTAGTCCTAATGTTGCTCTTATTTTTGGTAGTTACTTTAACAGAAAAATCCCACTTTCTATCACTATATATGACATAAACTACAAGCTAAAATAATAGTAATTTGCTAAATCCCATTTCAATTTCCAACAGATAATTTTGGACATGATATTGGACAAACTGCAGACACCTGAGGTAGTCAAATACCAAAGCTGGCAATTTTTGTTTATAATGACTTAACCTCCTGAAATATGATCATCACTTAAGATATAAATCTGAACCGATACATGTATTTTCATCAACTTTTACAGCAACAGAAAAAGACAATATCTTTTCAGTGTTTATACCCTCACTTAATTCTGCTTGTTTTAAAGGCCTAAACTTGTTACACAATTTCTTTGCTATGCAGGAAAAACTCCATAAAACACCCCCTTTCAAAATGTTTTTCTTATTAGGCAGTTACATAAAAAGAAAATAAAAATACCATATGATTTACTGATATGCATTTTGTCTAGATCAGATTACTTTATCTCTTTTCTCTATCCAGGTTTAAGTACTTTAAAAATGCATAGCTACAGTCCTTTATTGGTAGGATTTGCAAAACAAATTTCATTTTTGACAGCACTAGCAAAACTAAGCATCAAAATATAAGCTATTAAGTAGTGCATGTAATGTTCATACTAAGAAATCAGTTATTGTCAAAAGCAGTGGTAACAAATGGGGATTTTTATGACAAAAGCCTGATCCTGTCACTGGTGCTCCCTTCCTGAGCACGATGTTTTCAATGTTTTGAACATAACTTGTGCAAACAGGGTCATCCTCTTTAGATCTGTCCTCAAATTTAGATAACATAAGGAGATGTGTAAATTTCTGTGAATGCTTAACTCTGCTTTTTTTTTCAAGAAAGCACTTTCATGCTGATTAAACCATAAAGCAACTGCTTGTGTTAGAAGAAGTCTCCAACAGAGCAGAACCAATATCATATCACCTGTTCCTTAACTAACATAAACTTTAATCTATAGAAACAGGTACGTGTACACACAGCAAAAGGCACTGACGAGACCTGACCATATGTCCATGTAGTCACACATGTGCAAGGAGATGAAAAGCACAAGAGAACAGCCATGAGAAGGAGGTAGGGAGTCTGTACACTTTCTGTGAGGAGACTGAGAAAACCTGGCTCGGTTAGTCCTACAGAATGAATACTGAGAGAGGATATGATTGCAGTCTATTAATACACCCTGAGATAAACACCAGGGAGGGATAAGAACTATTTCAGTGGAGGACAATGTTGGCAGGAGAACAAATGACTGTAAGGTGACCACGAGTTACACTCATCCTAGAAATTGGAAGATTTCTAGTTAGGAGAGGACTGAGGTTCTGGAGCAGCTTCTCACATCAGCAGTAGCAAGGGCAAAATACTGAAATGCTTCCCAACCAGAACTTGATCAGTTTTGGAAAGGGGCTATATGATATGGCTGCCTGTAACCATAGGAGACCACATGCAGTGAGTGAGCAGGTGCCCCCCTGTCCTGTGTTCCTTCAGTCATTCCTCCCTATCTCATAGGACAGCCACAGAGTACACCCAGTAGGAAGTCTTTCCATTTCCTGGTTCACAGAGAAATTGAAGATATTAAGTTAAATCTTTAGAAAAAAAAAACAACATAGGATGTGCAGTTTAAGTGAGTTACTGTTCCTCCACAGTCCTTTATTTGTTTGGATCTTCTGGATTTCTATGCGTATGTCTTCAATTTTCACTAAATTTCTTTAATCCCTCGTGCCTCAAACCATAAGAATGCCTATGAAATAAACAATGCATTGCTGCTCCAACACTGACACATTCACTTGGGACCAACTGTGTGAGCTGCAGCTTGCACGTCCTGATTGTCAAGAGACCTGTTGCATTCATTTGGTTTCTCACACTGCACGGCAAAGCACAGCCATCCAACCCCAGATTAGCAGTTTTTTACTCCACCACATAGTTAGTAGTTCTAGTTTTAGTCCCCTTGACAAGCAATGTACGCTATTACATGGTCCCATCTTTACTTTGTTCTGTAACATGCTAAATTAAGTACATTAAACACAGAAGTGCACAAACCAGAATACTTTTGATCTCCAGCAAAGAAAATTTCAGTTGTTTCCTAAAGAAAATTCTTATTCAATATATATTGAAATAATAAGTAAAACCATTTTCAAGTGCCACACCTAAGACTGCAAATGTACTTTAATTCCATAGCTTTCATTAGAATTAAATACAGCTAAAGTAATAAAGTTAGTCTGTTCATAACAGCAAGAAGAATTCACTCAGTTAAGGCTCATCTGATGTTACACTTGATTTCATGCTGATCTTACTCAGCTGGCAGACACCCTTCTGCTTGTGTTTTGGCTAATATATGTCTGACATCCTCAACTGCAAATTAACTGTAGTTAATTTTACGCAGATTAATTCTGCTGAAAGTCATACAATAAGAGGATAAGAGGTTAAAGTCATAGTGAAGTGGATGCTGGTAATGTCCACATCTGTGTTTCTAAAGTATTGGCAGCATTTTAATTTCCTTGGGACTCTACATAGGATATTGTTGGAATTCTGAAAGTTTAAGCCAGCAACACAACTGGATCCAGCTGAAACCAGAGAAAATGAAAAAACCTTGTACACTGTGGCTTGGAGCCTCAGGAAAAAAAATAAATTGCACATTGGTGAGTGGTTTATACCTCTGCACACTGGTTTATACCTCTTTTCTAAGGAAATAAATATTGCCAGCTTTGCCACTACAGAAAAGTTCTAGGAGTCAAAGACCAACACATCTTGCCAAGTATAGCAAAACTCTTTTATAAGACAGAAGAGAGTTTGCACCAGAAATACCTGGAGCTTGTGTTACTGATTCAAAATTCTCCAATGTAACAATTTCTTCTCCTTTAGCATATGTAACTTGTTATATTTTTATTAAGTGCTATTGCCAAACTGACTACACAGGGTGTTGCTTGAAAACGTATTTTACACAATCTCTGTAACAGAAAATTTCATAGTAGCCATTTTTAAAGTTTCCAAAATCTACCTACTCATGTGCGTAGATTAATATCTTCTGTAATACTTATCAAGCAAATGAAATAGCTTACTTTTTCCATCTGCATTGTGATAAAGACTAGATTAAAAGAACACATGGCTAGCTTGGCACTTTGTCAAGATATTTCTTCAGTGCTACTCCCTCTCAAATTCCGTGTTACTAAATCAGGGGATGAGGAAAATTTTAATGAAGATTTTTCCAGAATATTATATATTCCTTACCTGTGGGCAGTCTTTGATGTAGTGTCCCTTGTTAAAGCAGAGGTGGCACAAGTAATTAGGAGGTGGCCTCTTGCTGGGTTTTCTGGCTTCTGAAGAAAGGGATAGGTCAGAGAAGTGCTCAGTGAGGGAGCTTAACCCATCCACAATGTTATTAAGTGAGCCATAAGGTGATGCACTCTTGTACAGACTGCTGCTCAGAGCCTGCAAAAGAAAAGAAAAGAATTGCATGCAACATAGTACTGTATTTAGGATTGGTCTGAGGCAGATCTGAGTAGGAGAAGGATAAAAAGAGCAGGGGAAAAAGTGATTTTTTTTCATTAGAAACATGGCTGCATATTTGAGGAGAGCAATATACAGGCCATTAATAAAGAGGTTTCACAAAGGCAGTGCAATGGAGCTGGTCACCCCACTGCTAAGGAAACTGTTGAGCTTGCCATGGTTCACTTAGTCCAACCTTTCCACTAAGGAGTGACTGCTTTCTTGTGTTTGACTGTAACACATTCATGGTATGGTTAGAATATGCAGGCAAAAAGCTGAAAGAACAACTCACAAAAAGAAATGTCTTTGTGTCCAAAACTACTTAACGCAATGAATAGTGAAGTCAGGGAAAGGAAAAGAAGACCAAGAAAAATGCAAAATAACTTTTAATTTCTAATCGGGTTAATCAGACAGTCAATATAGAGTCCCATGTTCAAATCATAACAAGAAACATTGAGGTCTATATCTGTTTTGGATTTTCTAAGGGGAGACCTACTGCAATTTAAACATTTCCTGATAAACAGTAAATACTTGGGTTTTGTACTTCACCTCAATAGGATCTTCCTCTCTCAATCTGCAAATCTAAATCGGTAGCTCCTAATTTGCCATTCAGTAGTTTTAGAACAGCAGGAAACCCATCAACACCTAAATAGCTATTCTCCCTAATGGAGATAACAAGGATTCATTCTTCAACTTGCTAACATTCAGAAGAAACTGTAGCAGGAGTTTAAAAAGGAAATAACTCTTAAAAACATTAAAATAATAATGAATTACTATAGAAATAGGACCAACTATTGACTGTCCGCTCCATCCTTGTTATAGGACACTTTTCACATGGTGTTTCCACCTTAGGTCTGTAATGCTATGTTTATGTAATTCTGGCATCAGAGAATTACCACCAGCTTATGAGAAAGTGAGGTAAGAAGAGATCCAATCTATGCTGTGCTTCTGTGGAGACCTTGTTTTTCAGTGCTATTAAATCCAGATACTTCAGAGGAGTCTTTATATATGTCATATATGTTTTCATATGTTTATACCTGTTATATACATATGGAAGACATGCATTGAAACTGATTTAGAGAGTTTGTGAAACAAATCTGAAATAGAAAATACGTTTATGTCAGAGATCTCAAACATCCAGGATGTCTGCACACTGAGTGTTTTCCGGCTGACAGTCACACACCAAAAGAATGATATTTAGGCTCTAGGCACAAGTACCTGGATGAGTCCCAGCTCTCACTGAATCCCATCCCACTGCAGATGGTGTACACTGTAAAGAAAAATTTAGCCTGAGATAATCTGCTCCACCCAGTTGCACTATGGTCAAACAAAACACTGACCTCTCTTACAAAACTGAAGCTGGTGCACAGCAGCAGGATCAACTCAAAGGGCCCCAGAGTAGAATCTGATCTCACAGGGGACTTCACACATGTCCAGGCACTGAAATGCCCATAATTTTACTCCCCGTACAGCACAGTTCTGTGCTGGTGCAGGACGAGGTGGCTGCTAAGAGGAGAATCAGCCACTTTGTTTCAGGGGTTAAAGGTATAGATTTAAAAGGAAAAGCTATTTCAAAAACGAATAAAAAGATTTTAGCTGCTTCAGCCATCAAGCAAACAAAGATACCTCCAGCGGTCACTAGAATTTATTGTCTAGAATTTATTGGATGCTATTGGAATGAGAAATTCTTGGCATCAAATTGTTAAGAGGAAGCGGAAGTGCTATGGATGCCAAAATAGTATTAATTAAGAGCCTTTGAGAAGTTCTTGTCTCCCTAGGAGCCACTTTCTCTAATATATACTTGGAATAATATAAAATCTTTTTTTAAGAGTCCTCTTGCCTCTAAGAGATTCTTAAAGTACTTCACATGCATTACACGCATCAGTAACTTTGCAAATTCCTTATTATCTGATTTTTATAGAAAGTTGTATGTATGGACACACAGAATGTGTAAAATCCCAAATTCTTTACCTATTGCCAAAATCTAAAATATCTCCTGGGGAGGTAGAATATGTAACTCCTGGCCATCAGGAGGTTGCTATTCTTGCCCCCAGGGCCAACTCACTGACAAAAGAAAACATACCTATCTGCTGCCTTCAGTGGGCTTTGGATTGGATATATGGCTTGCAGTGGTGACTGTTTTCTTTTCTAAAATCCCTTACACTGAGCTATTGCCCTCATTAAAAGGGAGAAATTTGGGGATTATTTGAGAAACTGGGGATTATGTAATTTACTCCTCACCAACGCTTCTGGGCACATTTCAGATCAATACTGTAACATATGGTGGCCCACTCTGTCAGTAAACCTTTACAAACTTTTGTTTCAACCAGAAGCCTTGCCAAAGGCCAGAATCCCATCAGACTATGGGCTGCACTGACACTAAATCATAATCTTAGCAGCCACCATTGGTTCTGTGGCCAAAGTGTGGCACATGGCTCTAAAAGTGGCCACCTGGTTCAGCTGGCAGTGCATTTGTGCAATATTTGCCAAAGTTGGACATCCAGTCTACGCATGGCACCACAAAACACCTCCCTATAATCATCTTGAGGCCCAGTGTTAAAAAAGGAAGAAACAAATACATCATCCCAGAAGATGACACTAAAGGAGAAGATGCACATTGCTGATGTCACTGGTACTTTAAAGAACAATGAATTCCTAAAGCAAATTCCTAGACAATCCCAAAATGCAGCCCATCCCTCTGGGTACAGTCAGGCAAATCACTTCAACGGTTCCTGCCAATCTGACCTGGAAAATGGTCTCAAATCTGTTGCACTTGAAAGTTGCTATAAAGAGCACCAGCACAAATGGTGCTACGTCCTGCTTCAAGCTCTGGAAATCTCCAGTTCTTCAGAAGGAGATGAGGAAATAAGCCATTCCCAAAAGCCAAGTTATATAATAAGGGTGGTAATGGGAAAGTTCATCCTGGCCCCTGGAATCAAATAGTGAAAGCTTAGGGCATGTAATGAACGTGATGAAATGGTATTTCAGTCCATTTTTTCTTTGTAGAAGACAAGGTGTGAATGAACCAAAACAGTTTTGTTTTGGTTTTTTTTTTTCTTTCTGGAGTATTTAATTGTGCAGATCAGCAATTCAGCCCTTATTGTTTGCACTGCTGCAAAGGGGATTTTTAAGTAGGGTTTTGAATTAAAACTTTAGAATTAGCTTTACACTCAAAGGGGATGTCCAGGGAATGATCAGAGAGAATGTTGATGGTCTCAGAAAATAAAGAGGAAGTTAGAAATGCATTCTGACCCACTGTGGTCTCAAGTGTATTAGTAGACATCTGGGAGGTGGCAGGGAGACTGCTCCTCTGATGAATTCCACCGAAAGTAATGATTGCTCTGTGTTCACAATGCACCAGTAGCAAAGCCAACCTATTTCTTTAAAAAGTAGACAACAGTACCTCTCCAATGGAGTCTCATTTTGAGCTCTAACAGGATAGAAAGGATTTGGCAGTGAAAGGGTTAGTGCTCTCAAGGCGCCAAAAGACCACACTGCATGTCCTAATTACAAGGCTCATCAGCCCAGCTGCAATGAATTCAGGATTTCCTTATCTTGCTCCACTGGGGGATGGGGGATCTGACGGTAAAACTTAGAAACTGGTTTGATGGGAAGTTCCAGCTGATAATGTAAGTTTGTTTTTCTGTTTGTTTGTTTTCCTTCCTATGAAACTTGTTGACTGAGTCAAATGAACTGAACTGAAAGTCTGATGTCGTTCTTTCCAAAGGTAACCTCTCTGCTTGGTAGATCTTTAAAATATATCTGTTGGTGGTGCTGGGAAGCAAAGCTTCCTTTGTTATTTGTTTGCTGAGTGTTTCCAGTTAAAGGCCACGTAATCTGTAAAGTTGCAGTGTGGTCCTTTGTGAAAGAGGCAGCTATTGTCTTCTATAGCTTCCTCACTCTGATTTCCAGTTGGGTAACATATGCAAGTGACTCAAGAGTTCCAGCATCTAACTCACCTCTATGAAATTCCTAGTTACGTGAATGATTGGCAAATGCTCTTGGTTCCCTTGGCTAGGTCCCTGCCTTTCAGAGACAGCTTTTGGGATTGATGTGCCAAGAGGTGGAAAAGGAAACACTGCCTTTATCTCTACAGCTTCTTTTATAGCAGTGGTGAAATGTTGAAAATAAAGACAACAGTACTGTTAGGAATATGCAATGAAACATTCAAACAAGTAAGTGGCAAGTCTTACTTTCCAAGTTTTCCACTGGTATGTATGGCTACTGCTTTAGCTGTAAAGGTATTTTTAACAGGGACCAGAAAGTACAGATAGCACAGCAGCATCTCAATTATGAAATGCTGAATTCTGACCAAAGGTGAAAGGATTACCTATCTACCAGAACAGCTGATATTAATAAGCAATGGCAACCTGTTTATGTGGGAATGGTATCTTCTTATTAGGATTTAAGAAGTGAAGCTTTTAGGTATGGACAGGAAAAGTACCTGGAAAAATCAGTTTCTACCCCAAGTTCAGTTTGTGGCTGTTGGACCCTTAAGGCAATGATAAAGGGGTTCATATCCATTAGTTACCTGAAGCTAGAATGACCTGTGCTGGTTGATGTGGTTGATAGGCTGTATCTGGCCAGAAGGTCTGTTTTGATGCTCTTTAAGTTAGTATGATTGGTGCTCATGGTTCTCTCCGTGTTTATTTTAACTGCACATACTGAAGTGAGGTCCTGTAGCAATTCAATATTCCTATAACTTACTCCAGTCATCAATGTTTCCATAAAATAGTCTGTAATTGAAAAGCAATGAGCAGAGAATTTTTGATGACTTGTTTTTCCTTTAGTATGTTGCCAACCTAATAAAGCAAACAAAAATAAAGCAATCTTAACTGCCAGAGTTAAATTTAAGTCAACAGGCGCCATGGCTCTTTGAAGCCTGTTGGAAAAGGCAGGTTGGGCTGCCCTATCATCAGTGTGGAAAAAGTAAGGTTTTCATA